CTGAGACAGTAAGTTGGCAATTCCTTGCCCATGCCACCTTCTTGACTGCTTGACGAACAGTCACCTTCTCTGCATAACCTTCATCAGCTAAGGCCTTTGCCATAATGGCCCACGTGCGCTTGAAAAGACGCACTGCGGTCTCAGCTCGATTAGGCCAAGGAGTTCGCGGTCCACATGGATATGGAGTAATGCCATGGAACTTGTAATAGGACATGAACTGTGGCGTGAAAAAAGCTTGATCTCCTACGATTCCCTTAGGAACGCAGTTGTTCTCCTCCGTCCATTGTCGGAAAGCACCCAGAGTCTCTGGCGCTTCCAGGCTTGTGAGAGCCGTAGCCCACAGGAGATTCGAGGCACCATCAATGATGACCAAAGCCAGATAGGCTTTAGTACCAAACTTAATCTCTTCGTGATCAACAAAAATGAGATCACCGAAGGATGATGCTCTCAACCCTGCGATTCTGGCTCGCGGAGGCGTAGGCACGGAGGTGCTGCAAACACGACAGCCTTTGACAATGCGGTCGTACTTGTCATAGATCTCTCCTGGCAGACCAAGCATGCTGGTCCTGCGTCGAAACTGAGCAGGACTCATGTGGTAATGCTTCACATGCAACTTGTAAAGCTCAACATCATTGTTCAACTTTTCCAGCATGCGCTGATACTGCGGAGAAGCCCTTGAGACCTCGTGGCCTGGCAACGGAAGCGCGATCCTCCTAGGTTCTAGCGACTGTGGCTCTGGGGCCCTCGGAGGAAGCAAATCTGCATCCCCCGGTTCGGACGGTTCGTACTCTTGAAGATCCGGATCATCTTCAGGAGCAGGAGGAGAAGGAGCCGGTTCCTTGGGTTCCTTTCCCTGTGGAGAGCTTCCCTTGGCTCCGGATGCTCCTGTGTTCTTCGAGCTGTCTTCAGGTTTACCTGTGCTAACCATATCCTCTGGAGATCCTACCTTGCCACGGGTTGGATCCTTGGTCTTAGCCGGCACCGAGGTTCTACTCTCGATGCCACCAGGCAGAATCTTGAAAATGGTCTTGCCTTTCCAAGAGTCAGTAGTTCTTGTTGAAGAAAGCTCAGAAGAACGCCAGTCATCTTCTTGAGTTACGCTCTTTCCCTTGGAGAACTCCATGATCGTCTTGCGCTTGGTGTCCAGATACTCCAACGGAATAGGCACAAAACCCGCCTTGGGTTCGTACTTGACCCTTCTCATCTTCTTGTGGATGCGAATCATCTCCATGTCGGCTTCATTGATCACCCACTCATCATCCGTTGCCAAGGCGAAGTTCTTGGGTACCTCTTCATGAGAAGAGCATCCCTCGGTCTTCTGATGGAAGCCGTACTCATAGTGGGAGAAGTAGGTGAGGAAGCTCGACTTCTTATGCTTGCTGAAACGCACATTCCACATTAACTGACTGAGTTCAAGAAGGTCAAGTACAAGGTGTGAGCTCGGTGCAACCTTCAGCCTCACATCCTTGATTCCCAGCACAGGGCTGCTTAGCAAGGCCTTTTCCGGATGGAGCTCGAACTGGAAACGAAGATTGCGCATCTGAGGTAAGGACATGAGAATGGGAACATGCCCTTGTTCCACAATGTCGAACTCTGTGGATTGAACTGCAAAGTCCCGGTCGTACATGCAAATGACCAACTTCTGGTTGCATTTTGTCGACTCGGAATTGGCAAAGGTGAACTGAGAAGTGGTCTCCGCAATGGTGTACCATATGCCGCAGTTCTGATTCTTGTCACAGAACTCCATGAGGTCCTGTGCGGCCACTCTCGAAGCCATTGCTCTCGTACATCCCAAGTCCAACACCATCGCGGTTGGCGTCAAGGGCTGAGAGATGAAGGCTTCCTCGATCTCATTGATCTTCTCTTCGGTGGCCATGAAAGAAAAGTTCGGAGTGTTGAGATGTTCAACAAAGAAGGTCGTAGCGGCTGTGGTGCCGCTCGGGGCAGCATCAGCAAGCTGGCTCTGTCCATCCTTTCCGGACTTTCCATCTTTTCCATCTTTGCCAAACTTGCTCTTTCCCTTGCCCTTCTTTCCTTTCTTACCTTTTCCTTTGGCTGCATAGGATTCCTCAGACTCGTACCAGGACCAGTCATCCCAGGACTGATCGTTCCACTGGTAATCTTGCCACTGTCCTTCTGCCTGCCATGCTTCTGATTCTTCGGCAAGATGAGACCTGCCTTTCTTCCTTTTGAAGAAGCGCCTTCCCTTCGATCCTTTGCCACCCTTTCCTTTGCCTTTGCGGTGGCCTTTGAATCCGCGCTTCATCTTGCGGCCTTGGAAACGCCGCTGGAACCATGAGTAGTTCTCGTCGTCGTAGACCCAGAAGGCGTCCTCATCCGCTTCGAGGAACCCTTCCGTGCCATCCTCCTCGTCCTCGACCCAGTAGCCTTCATGATTGTCAAGAAATCCTTCATCGATCACAAGGAACGTCTTCCGGCCACCGTGGCCCGAAGGAGCGAGGAGTGGGTTGTCGACGGTAGTTTTAGTCGTGCAGAAGATCTCCAGGTAGACTTCACGCAGCTCGGTCGTGTTGTAGTCAGCTAGGACCCGGTTCCGATGTGCCATCAGTGATGTCAACACCTGCCGCTGATCCTGTGTCAGATCAGAAAGGGACACAAAGATCAAGGCGACAAGGTTGGCCGTGATCGGAATGGTCCGAGCATGCTGCTCTCTGAGCCGTTCGTTGGCTCTATCCATTGCCTGAGCTGGCGTAATATCTGCTTGTTCTTCTGGAGGAAGTCCTGCTATGAAAGCTCTGACCTCTGCATTGTTCGGATCCTCAATCGGCAGATAGGTATCGTTCCACGCTTCTTGCATTCTCTGAACAGAGAGTTGAAACCTGGTAATCCAACGAAGCATGTCTCCGTTCCCACGGTGCATGTTCATGAACTGCTAGAAGCGGTAGAGAAAGACATTCGCTGCTCCCTTCACGAAGAGCGGCCGCAGGAAGCTCTTGAAGTACTTAACTCCGTTGTTCGGGTCCTTCAGGCGATCTCTGTCGAGAAGCCTCTTGTGGATTGCTGCTTCACCTTCTAACCGATTTCTCAAAGCTGGTCCACGCTTGTCATTGTCTAGCTCAGTAATTTCACACCAGTCATCGATCGCATCTTCATAGGCAAACCAACTGCTTCTACCATCATAAGATGGAGGTACTTTGGTGGTCACCTGGTGGAAAGCTGAAAGACGGTGTAGTTCATTGAGATGACGATGATTCGTCGCGTAAGATTCATTGCCTTGAAGGAGGTAGTCTTCATCTCCTCCATCATGCTCAAAGATAGTCGCAGAGTGGCTAGCCATCGCGCTGTTCTTGGATCGAGCCCCGGGAGAAAACTCTTCCGGTTATCTTCACCTGAGTGAAGTGTGCCGGAGAGACTCCGGTCACCTTCACCTGAGTGAAGCACACCGGGTATTCCGGTTGCCTCCACCTGTGTAGAGAGTACCGAACGGGTACCTCCACAAGTGTGAAGCTTCCCGTTTCCCGGGAGCTCCGCTACCACGTTGAGATGTAACCTGGACATGTATCCCCTCGCTAGGCGTACAGGAACACAGGCACTCAGGTGTCTCTTTTGCTACAGGCGCACAGCTGTAGTCCACTGCACTAGAACCTTGAGCAACAGGCATGGATACATGCAAGTGATACTTGAAACAGACAGGCACCTGGATGTGTAACATTCAGTGTTTCACCCCTCCCCCCCCCCCCCCCCCCCCCCCCCCCCCCCCCCCCCCCCCCCCCCCCCCTCCCGCCCCCCCCACTCCCCTTTCCCTCCGCTCGCTGACAGGTGCGAGCTTTCGGAGTTTTCGACGACACGGGACTGCAATGTAGCATCTTTATGTGCGTCTCAGGCTTGTTTTAGACGCCCTTTCGTGGAGTAACGTGGTTGAAAAGGCTGTGATGCTACCCTAATCCAAGACGCCCACGAAATCCACAGCCTCAACGGCCCATACTTAAGGCATCCCGCCGCTTGCGAGAGTCTTGGTATCCAGTGTTTCGGAATGACGACACCAAAATTCGTACTGATACTACCACTACTAGTACTACTCACAATCATCCTGCTTCGTGTTGCTATGAACATTCCTTTTACTATAAGTGCGATTCCAACTGTTACTTTTTTCCTACAAGAGCTTGCTGCAGATAGTAGCCACTCGCCGCATGCGCGTACAGCCGGGCCGAGGCGGACGACGCGCAGCGTTTCAAATAAAAATGCCCTTTAGAGCTTTGGGGGCTGCGGGCATTCCTCTCAAGCTGAGGGCAACGCCCAACTTGTTCAGGACCTGCATGGCTTTGGTCTAATGCGCGATGATGCCTTTCGCAATAGTCACGGGACCTTGCCACCGATGATGATGTTCACATCACCTTGCAACACGACGTGCATGGCCTGCACCAGCAACAGCAGGAAGTCTGCAGAATGTGGCACAAATTTGTCACGGCGTAGAGTCACTAGCAAAACTTTCTTGCACCTTGGCAGGCTTGCCTTCAGTGAGAAGCGGCTCGTTTTTCCTGAAAAGCGTAACCATGCGCATGCTCGTCTGCCTACTCTCCCTGGCCGGCTCTGACGTGCCTCCAGAACTTCTTTTGAAACAGCGCAATCAAGCGCTCGAAGCTGAAGGTGTCCTGCGGAGGATAATGCGACTGCACTACGTATGTCCGGCTGACACATACATCACATACACACTCTCGGCTCCAGGGTGGAGAAGAAGTCGAGGGTTTGAAGGGACTTGGAGATCTCCATCTTCTGTGCCTCGCACCGGCCAGGCTCTCAGCGTTTTTCCCGGTCTGTCCGGCGCTCTCTGTATGTGGGTGCTGACTTGTGCGCCTCGCTGTTGAAGGTGAGGGTATCCCTTAGACGGACCAGGCAGTACAGCGCCCTCACTTGACCAATACACATGCCGTTGCTTTCCTTAGCAGCGTGCTTCTGTCCACCCGTCTCCTTCTCCTCACAAACAGCGGCTTCGAAGTGGATGCAGGTCTTAGGATTTTACACCTGCCTCGTTCCCCTCATCAAGCTTGTCCTGCATCGCTCAAGGACCGAAGGGGGGGGCCCAAGGACTCGCGACTATCAGCGGCGACGGCCTTGTTGGCCTTCAGCTTTCCGTGCAGCTTCGCCGTTTGCAGTTTCGCTGTTTGCCTTCGATTGTAGTGCATGGTGCTCTTACCTAGATGTTTCCGATCAAGACCCATGTCGACCTACAGCAGATTCAAGGCCTTCGCTTCGCGGCGCTGTCCTTCTTCTCTTGCGGCTTTGGCTCCGGAGGTCGCGGTGGAGGAACAACAGCTGGAGTCTTCTTCCGGCCTTTCAAGTCTCACGCTTTGCACTCACTTCATTGCACTTTTGACGAACACTTCTCCAAACCCTAAACCCTAAACCCTGTCTCTGCGTAAGGTGGGGAGGCGATGCATTCAGCACAAGCGGGGCCTGCGCTGATCGCGTTGACAAACTGCACGACTCGTAACTGTGCTTTTGCAGCACGTAGGAAGGAGGGTTTCCTCGTCGTGGGCCAGGGGATCTTCAACTGTTCCAGACATTTGGAGAGATCTTGGACATCATCCTTGATGCCAGCAACTTGTCTGAACTGGGAAGATGTGAGCTTGTGCATCTGGCAGAAGGTCTTTGCCACCACGTTGTACTGATTCTCCACACATGACCGAAGCAAAACCCGAGGATCGCCAATGATTCCTGCGTCGCAAAGATCGGCAGATTCTTGCCCGTCAGACCACACTTGGACGGATCCAAAGGCCAGAAGGAATACGTGGTCTAATTCCTCGCCACTTCGACAAACTATCTCACCCGGCTCAAGAAATCTCGTCTGTAGTTGCTGAGCAACTTTGTGAACAATGGAGTCTCTGCATTGCTGAAAAACGGGGAGCTGCCGCAGGGCAGAAACTTTTGTACTCAGCGCATGAGCGGCGCAGTGGTCAATGTCGACCCTGCTCATGCCAACACTTTGCGGCTCGACATGTCTCCATCTGCAAACCTAGGGCTACCTACATCTTATGCCAACTCGCAGTATCGAATTTGCACGTCCCTCCTCATTCAAACAAGTCTTCGCTGCATGTGGTTAACACGCCCATCCCAGGATCTGCTGAAATCTCTGTGCATTGCGACTACCCGACCCCTGCGTTCACTTGAGAAGCAGACAGCGGATAGCGTGACGTCTGACTCAACACGAGCCGGCGCACAGCAATGTAACATACAAGATTGCAGAAAGCACCCGAATCCACGTGATGCCAACCCAAACTGTTCCGGCCCTTTGCGATCTAGCCACCGCCACAATTCAGGCCTGCAGTGTGTGGTCACGTCATCCAGTTTTTAAAGGAGGGCTCCCACTTACAAGCATCTAAGCAAGTATTCGAAGTCTTGTTCCGCCTTGCCCGCACGTCCGACTTCCTTGGCTTGTCCGCGCCCCTGAAGGGCCGGCTTGGTGTAAAAGCCATGCATTCCTAGTCTAGGCTCATCTCCGTGGCTGACAAGCTTTTGAAAGAATGCCGAAGCAGCCTAGTACGATCTAGGGTTTTACATCCCTGGGTCTCGTTCCCCTGTTGCTTTTACAGGATCCACCCTGAAGGCGCTGAACGCGAACCCTACAACAAGCTACATCTACATGTCTGAACGACTTCCATCGAATTGCCCTGATGCATATGTCGACGCAGAAGATCCTTGGGCCGACAAGCCGCACTCTCCGAGGAATTCAAGAATCTAAAGGTTTTGATAGCAGCTGCACACTGAGCTCTGGACCCTTTGGGAATGAGGCTTCTGCGCGCAAAGCCTGCACAGACCAGGACAGCACCTACGAAGCAGCCGTGCGCGAATTGAAACTCACCGCATGACCGGGAAGCTCGGATTCTTGCTGCCAGTTCCTGCTTCCAAGAGGTTTCCGTCTTACCTGGCCACGTCGTTTGTCTCAGGCCAGAAACTTTCTGAAGTCTCTAAGAACTTGCAGGGAGAGCCGGGAAGGCCAAAAGCCCCAGAATAAGTCGATCTCGGCATGTCACGAGCGACACAATGCTGCGCGCTCCCTGCTCACTTGACCTAGGACGGGACCCCATTCCCCCACTTGTTCGCCAGGAACTTGTCTTCACCACGCCTGGCAGCTTCTGCAGCACAGGTTCTGTGCCGTTCCGCACCGAGCTGTAAAACCGGCCTGCAACCATCTTCGATGCATTGTTCAAGTCGTTGGTGCGACCCCGTGGAAACCTGGCCCATGCGAGAAAGGTCTGCCAGATGGCCAGGGTGGTGTTTCCAGGCAGTGGCTCAGACAAGCACGAAGCCCTCTAGTGTTGGGAATTGAGCACTCGGCTTTTGCCACCACTTGCTTTAGTGAGGATCCTAGTAAAGCTGCAGAGCATTCACGGCTACTCAGCCTGGGACCTGCTACAGAAATTTCTCACTGCATGGCTTGTTGTCACACGATGCCGCCTAGGAAAACTTAGGAACTCTTAGGAATTGGTTTTCGACTTCAGCTGCGTTTACGGTGTCGCAGAAACTTCAACTGTTAGCTTTCCGTTCTGGCAATGCTGCAAAACGTCACTTGTCATAGCAACAGCAATAACACTAGTGAGACTGAAACCGCATAGTACTGAAAGGAAAGGAGCAGGAATCGGCATAGTAAACATGAGAGCAGGCGCAATCATTCACAGCGGTAGCTGCACAAAGTGCCAACAGTTCTAACCGCAATGCGGGTAAGTGTTTTGTGCTAGGACCTTCCCTCCCCGACCTTGCTCCTTGTTGAGCTGGACATTTGGTTTTCGCCAGTAGTAGTAGTAGTCGTCGTCGTAGTCGTCGTAGTCGTAGTAGCAGTAGTAGTAGTAGTAGTAGTAGTAGTAGTAGTAGTAGTAGTCGTAGTAGTAGTAGTAGTAGTAGTAGTAGTAGTAGTAGTAGTAGTAGTAGTAGTAGTAGTAGTAGTAGTAGTTGCAGTAGTAGTAGTAGAAGTAGAAGTAGAAGTAGAAGTAGAAGTAGTAGTAGTAGTAATAGTAGTAGTAGCAGTAGCAGTATTAGCAGTACTACTACTCCTCCTCCTCCTGCTGCTGCTGCTGCTGCTAGAAGAAGAAGACGAAGTAGCAGCAGCAGTAGTAGTAGTAGTAGTCGTAGTCGTGGTCGTGGTCGTAGTAGTAGTAGTAGTAGCAGTAGCAGTAGTAGTAGTAGTAATAATATAGGAGAAGCAGTCGTAGTAGAAGAAGTAGTAGTAGTTGTTGTTCGTAGTTCGTAGTCCGTAGGTAGTAAGTGGTGTAGGTACTAGCCGTTGTCGTCATCGTCGCAGTTGTCGTAGCTGCCGTAGCAGTAGTAGTAGTAGTAGTCGTCGTCGTCGTAGTAGTCGTAGTAATAGTAGTAGTCGCCGTCGTTGCCGTCGTCGTCCTAGTAATAGCAGTAGCAGGACTAGTACTGATGCTAGCAGTGGCTGTTGTTGCTGCCGCGGTAGCAGTCGCGGTAGCAGGAGCAGCCGAAGCAGGATCAGGAGCATCGTCGCAGGCGTTGCAGCAGTAGAAGTAGCAGAAGCAGAATCAGCAACAGTAGCAGTGGTAGTAGTGGAAGTAGCAGTGGCTGGCAGTGGCAGTGGTAGAAGTAGGAGGAGATTAGAAAGACCACTGTCTCCGTGCAATGTGGCATACCTCCCCCATGGCCTCTGCTGGCACCAACTACTGCTGGTAGCAGAAGCCACCGTAGCGCCTGCAAGCTCTGAAACTGCTGACATCAATGCTGTCAAACCCGGAGCAAGTCTATTCCCTCTGTGTATGCGTTGGTTGACCGAGTCTCCTGCATGTTCGGACGTCTGGCTATCACTACAGTCTTCGTTATGCCTTTCACTGTTTGGGGATGTCGTCAAGTGCTCGCGAATTGGGGTGTGGACAGACATTTGCGACTGCAGGGCAATCTTGCTGAGATTTCCCGAGCAAATCCAACGAAGCTGTGCCCAGTGTCCGGTCTCACAGCTTTATCCTGCATACCCATTGGCCTGAGCCAAGGGGCTGCCATCCCCAGTCGGTGGTCCTTGTCTGCAGGACTTGCTAGGGCCTGACTCGAACGCAAAAGTGCAGCCTCGCTAAGTTGAAGTTGATTTGGACGAGCCTCGCCTGGATCAGGAGCTAGACAGTATGCGGACAGTCCGGTCAATCCGTGCCTTATCGCATTGGTCCTGCCAGTTTCCTCGGCCGTGCAAAAACACTTGTATCTTGCTCCGGGCTCTTGGATTTGATCTCGTCCATACACCGAGGTCATGGCTGTGCGCCGACCATGTTTTGCACCGCAGGACTTGTGGCATGCTACTCTGTGCAAGTGATCTCTCAGTTCTTGGCTCCGCATTCTGTCTCGCCTCTGCTCATCTTCTCCATGACTTCTCCATGTCAACCACATGCTGGGCCCGAGCTGCATACATGTAAACGCGTAAACAATGCAAGGCCGACCCACAGCCTGAATTTCAAGGTTTGCACATCCCAGTGGAGTAGTGGAAACTAGCAAAAACAGTAACAAATCCACACTTGCAGCAAGTCGTAAATCTTTGTGATGCTTGCAAGGCGCACCTTTCTTCAAAGCGTCCAGACGCAAATCGGATGTTGGCGATGCCGGCTCAGCCCTGTCTTCATAAATCCTGGCCACCGGAGCACGCTTGGATGCCTCGATGCGGACCTTGGTTGTCAGCATAGCGCAACCATGGCAGACAGCTCACGCGAAGGATGACAAACCTTCATACTGAAGCCTTGGTACCTCTGCCTGTTTGACACTGGAAACGGAAGCTTAGAGGGAGAGAGGGGTCACAAGCCGCGCCACCACAAGAGACACAGAAGCATTGATAAGACATCTTCGTAACGGAAGCACTCACACACCAAGGACCTTATCAAATTGCGAGGAGTTCGTGTCCGGGTCAGTTAGTAGACAGGCTACACTCTGTGCCAAAGCCCGTTAGCCCCGTCAAGAACTGCAACATTTCTCTTAGGTTCAGCAGTTTTGGTCCCGAGCGCTTGTCTCCCACAGCGGCTGATTCGGAAAGCACAACACAAATCACCCCCAAACCTTGAACCGGATCATTGAATGACAACAACGACAACACCAGCTACATGTAACGAGGACGACGACAAACATGATGACGGCGAAACCTATGCATGACACTTGAGAAGAGGGCCACGAAAGCTAGGGGAGAGGAAGCGTAGCTGCGAGCAATTGGGGCTGAGTAAGGCGGGGGACACATGTGACATGAGAGTACTGTCGAACACGAGGCCGAGGCGACAAGGTATGTTCGGTTCAGTTTCATGGAGTGTCAGCTGGCTGAAAGATACTTTGGATTTTCAACCCCAAATTCTGTAACCCTAAGACGTAATATTAGAAGCCAACAGGCCACATTCAGTTAACGACAAACTTCAAACACAAGCAAACTCAGGGACCTTGTGGAAGGAGGGGGGGGGGACCTGTGGGTAGGGGGGGGGGGAGCCCCCCCCCCACCTTGTCCCACGCGCCGCAACCTTAAAGGTGGGGGGGGGAGGCGGGGGGAAACCACACCTTGTCTCTTCAAAATGCTTCATGAGCGAGGTGAGGGGGGGGGCGGCCCCTCCTCCCCCCCACCCCCCCACCTTAACTCTTGGACGTCCCACCTGATAAGGTGTAAGCCCTGGTTTTGCCCTAGTGCCTTAATACAAGGTAGACCAAGTGAAAATTGCTAAAGGGCAACTCCCGCGAGCTCAACAGAGCTAGCTTTCGTGAAAACAGCAGCAATAGGCCAGCAACGCGACCGCGACCGACGACGACAACGAAACACCAATCGGCAAACGAGAGGGCGGGTTCAAGAAATAAAGAAATGTGAGCAACCACCCTTGCCCAATGAGGGAGCATCACTCAATGAGTTCGCGGGTTTAAAGACCAAGAAATGCGATCAATCGCCGTTGCCGAATGAACCTGCAACCCTGGAATCTTAGAAATGTGATCAACCACTGGAGTGAACTTCCCTTGGCCTGATGAGGGAGCGAGTTCAAGAAGTGCGATCAACCGCCATCGCCTAATTTAATGAGGGCCGGTTTAAAACACTTGTGTGATCGAACGCCATCGCTAAAACGAGTCGCCGCATGGGGGCCGTTTCAAGAATATGCGTGATCAACCGAGCTCGCGTAACGAAGGGGCGCGTTTAACAAGTGTGATCGGCCGCCATCGCCTAACGAGGGGACGGTTGTAAGACCTGTGATAGCCAACTAGAGCGGGTTCTGAAAAGTGCGATCAGATCAGTCGAGATCACATAATGAAGGAGCCCGTTTAAGAAATGGTGTGATGTAACGCCATCACCCGATGAGCAGGGGGGCCTTAAGACATGTGACCAACTGCTTGCCCTGAATGACGGGGCGGGTTTAAGCGATATGATCGACCTCTTTCGCTTGATGAGGGCGGGGGATAGCCAAAAAGAGGGGGAGGTTTCACGAAATGTGTTCCAAAAGAAGGGCCGGTTGCAAGAAATATGCTCACACCCCATCGCCTCATCAGGCGACGGATTTAACTCGTATGATGAACCGCCATCGCCATATCGAGGGGACCGGTTTGGCTTGATCAACCGCCATGGCTTATTGAGTGGGCAGGTTTTTGGAAGTGCGATCAACCGCCATGGTAATGAAGGGCGGTTGTGGAACTTGCGTACTCGGCCACCATCGCCTGATCAGGCGGGCTTGCGAAATCTCAGTGTTCAATCGAACCGCTTTCGCCCAGCGAGAAGCTGAAACTGAACCGGGCTTGATCTGAAAGCGCATGCGGCATGTTCCGAAACTCCCTCCCTAAACTCCGAGATTGACATCAGTAAACTAACCCTGAAACTCGCATTGGCCTAAGGACCAAAGTGGAGCAAATAGTCGGGCAAAGTTTATGAAATTGGCAATTCGAGCTCCGAGTCTTCATTTCGCCCGTTTGCTAGGATTAAGGTATAAAGGGTTTCGGGATGCTTCGTGTCTTTGTAAAGCGGCCATGTGCTCCCGACGACTGTACAACGTAGACGAGCATTTATCTCCGGCTTGCGCGCTCCAGGTCCGAATTGAACTGAGGTCCGGTTTGAAGTGGGCATGTACTTTCAAGGACTGTTTGATCCTAAGCATATCCCTTCCGAATCCTGAGCTCTCTTGGTGTGTGTGTGTGCGTGTGTTTTCAAGGTGTTGGCGATGCACTCGTTCTACGGTAAATGCGCACCAGTCTCCACATTGGTGACCTCTATGCGGCGACTTGGTTGCTATGACACCTGTCCCTGAAACCTGGAGAGAAGATTAGGTCATGAGTGGCGAAGCAATCTTTGGAGAACTATTCGCGAGGGCAGGGTAGCTCGACAGGATACCTTGAACACTTTCTCACGGATGACGTGGGAGTAGTTCGACGCCCTGACTCCAATGCAGCGACGGAGGTTTTGGTGATACCAAGCATCGATGGGATGGGCACATTCTCTGCACCGGGGGACATCTTCCGATCGGCATTGGTTTCTGCTTCGAGGCGGTTTTGCTCGGGCGAGACCGCCCTTCAACTTAGGGGCAATCTCAGGCAACTTCGTAGTGACAACGAGGTTTTTCTTCGATCTCCGATCCCCTTTACCCTAAGCCCTAGACCTTCCATACAACCAACAAGCTTTGGATAAATTGACTTGGCTTCTGGGTATACTCCGGTCATATCAGGATGAAGAAGGCAACTTCTGCAAACGATTGAGGCTCCGACTCATCCCACCTCGTGTCCTGCCTGGCAGCCACGGCAAGCGGCTGCAACCTGACAGCTTTGACACTCTTTGCAACCTCTTGCCCTGATCGTAGAAGCATGAAATGAGCAGAGTTCAATAAACATCAATGAATAGCGAATGAGTCGTGACCATGAGACTACACATAAACCGCAAACGGATGATCAGCAGCTGGTGATCCCGTCACCCGTCAACGATTGTATCCGTGCTAAGCTGGCTTCCAAAGCCTCCATTCTAAAGTCCTAAGCCCAAGCCGCTGAACTTCCGAAGCGGCTCGACTCTCATCCAGGTTTACTCTCTGCCAAAAACCCAGTGCAGGCTTCAGCAGCCGGAACGGCAAGTAAGATGGACTGCCACGGCCGCTCGCCCATGGCATCTGCGGGGCAGTTGCAGACCCGGCTCCTGTGTCTGTGCTACAGAATACCATACTTAGTCATACTTGTACTTGAAGCTTTTCATGACGACTACGCCGATACTGCAGAAGATGGGGATGCCTTGAGCCTCGAGCTCCATTCCACAGCATCTCTCAGGAAAAGCTCCGTACTCCTGGACATTGCATGTCCGCGGCGGCTTCGAAACCTTCAAGATTGAACTTAACACGAAAGCCGATGCAGCCCAGACTCACCGCCGTACGGCCGTATGGTTCAGTCCCATGTGCTAGTCAGAGAAACCTTAGCATGCCGCCTTATTGAGATTTGAGGCAAACGTCTGAGGCGCAACAACGTGATGTACATCTTTGCTCAGCACATGCCCTATCCATGCTGATGGCTTCTTAAAAGTTCGTCCTTCCACACCTGCCGGCCGAAGCGAAACATCCCATCTGTTGTTCAAGTCGCCTGGTTAAGTCGAACTGGAACCGGGGCCTCTGTGCATCTTTTCCTTGCTCTTCACTAGTGTTACATCCACCTTTCGAGAAACCAGGCATACTTTATGCACGACCGCGCCTCCTTTTCCGGCTGTCGCAGCTTGAAAGGTCCGGCATCCGGTGCATCTGACAGTGAGCCCTACAGGGCTCTGCTGGGTTTCTACTCCACGTGCGATCGCTTGCCCTGAAGCCCTTCGAACGTTCTTGCACGGAGGCAGGGGAGGGCTCTCATCTGGTGAGCGCGTCGTGACAGAAAAGCCTGGTCTAGGCTCGTCTAGAGGCTTGAGGTCCAAGGTACCTGAAAGAGGAGATCGAGAGTGACTTGTTGAACATCAAACCGAATCATGCCTACAGGCCGCACCTTTCATTTTGCGAATCCCTGTGAGCATACCTGGGAGAGCTAACCCGTGGCTGTCTGCGACGACACTTTCTGCGGGTCACCTCATGGCGCACTCATATCCTAGTGCTTGATGATGCTGGCTGCATGATGCGGTTCCCATGTGTGCGGCTGCAGCAGACGCATGCAAGACTGCACTGGCCAAGTGAGCTGGGTCAGGCATGGCAAACACCCGCCAGAGGGTCCGTCCGGCCTTGCCTGCATGGCCCAACGAATTCTCCCATGAGGATTGTCCGTATGAGCCCACAAAGTAGAGCTTGATCCCACTTGCAACGCAAGCTTGCCAGTCGAATTCAGCTCGCAACCACGGATCGGCTTGAAACCTTAAGGCTTGTCACGGCACTGCCTTTCATGTCTACGTCAATCTACGTAAGGCTCGCAACGGCGCAGTTAGAACTGAGGCTTTAAAACTGCTTTAAATCCTGAAGAGGATCGTATGTGATACCGGGGCATCTCACGGAGAAAGATGGCGATCTCTCTGGCACGGATGCTGGCCACGGAGTGCTTGCCTGACCCAGGGAAATGCCAAGGGGTGCATGACGAACACCTCACCAGCTTCTTGGCGCAAATGCCTGGGCTTGAGGATCTTTCAGGCTCGGGCCGGACGTGATGCGTTTCCGAAGCGCGTGTAGATCGCAAGTCCACCTTTTATAGCGAACTCGCCCGCAGCCTACATTTGTGCGGCTTCTGGCAGGTAT